ATCCTTCCATTTACAGCAGAACAAATTTACCACAAAACAGCAATCACTCGGAGCGGAGCAGTCAGTTGTCGTCCCCTTTCAATGCATTTATATAGCTGTATTTTTGTACCTCTCCAAGCCGAGTCGTAGAGGGAGCTCTCTGCTGTAATATATATCTGTGGCTATGAGGCTCTAGGTGGGCTTAGAATAAGCGACGAACTGGCAACGGGTGTAACAACACCCGACAATTCAGAGCACGTCGTGATGGGCTAAAAAGGAGAGAGGTGCAACATTCAATAATGGAAGACGGCTGGGAGAACGCTAAATGCTCATCTGATCTTCGAGAACGCCAAAGATCGTTCTGCTGTGAATGCCTCGTCACTCTCCCGCACTTGCCTCGGCGTTGGCGTTTCCGTGTGTGTACTTTGCAACGAGGGGCCACAATAATCAGTTTGGTTCCAGTATTTCAGATGCGTCAGGAAAGTGCTGAGTAAAACCTTGGTTAGGGTCACGTTTCGAGACTCCGTTGCTTCGAAACATTCAGACGTATTAAGGGCGTTGGGTACAGAGGGCCTCAAGCCTGTCAGGTCGACGTGATCCTGTTAGCTTTGCTAACAGTGACTGCTAACCAACGCTAGTAGCTATCTCGCTTCTTTTCCCCCAAATATAGATTTGATTAAACGTTATGCAACACGCTAAAGCTCAAAGTAACGTGAACAGGATCACCCAAAACGACGCCAATGTCGCAACAATTATTTCGTGCTTGTAAGATTGTCTGGGTTACACTTTATATTAATGCAAACAAGCTAACGTTAACTAACTTAAACCCGCCAGTTCGATGTCGTCAAGGTAGCAAAAATGGGGAAACAAAGAAGCGAGAAAATGGACGCCTTGGCCTAAACTCTCCAACCAAATCGACGGAGTATTCACAACATGTCTTCGACTATATTCTAACAAATACGTACGAAATACAACTTGATGTATACATATTTATTGTAACTTGTGCTTTTAAGCATATTTTGACAGGGTTTTCAATAACGATAGAGGGAGACAAACACTCTCCGACGAGCTGCCCGGACCCAGAGCCCCATCGTGACACCTAGAGGCCGATTAAAGATCCTGCAAACTCCCCCCTTATGTGAAAAGTAGTGATACTTTACCTCTTTTAGTCTGTTTCTCCTTCTGCTTAACTCGGCGGAAAGCACAGAGTCTGTGCTACAAAGTTTAGCCGACTAGGGAAAAATGCGGGCTTCTTCGCAGTTTGTTTTAATCCTTCTCCTGCTTTAGCAGAGTAGCTTCTGCCACAAAATGGCAGTTGGAAGCTCAGTGCGCCTGTGCGGCCGCTGGGGGGTGGTGTCGAAGCTGCTGCAGACACACTGATTGGCCAGGAGGGGCGCCCCGTTGGAATACAGTGAAGCCTATTTATCACAACGTTAGGAAAACGGACGCTTTCACAACCCTCGGAAATGCGACATTCACAAGAGAATAAACCCGAGGCGTTAACGTTTTCAATAAAACATACAAATGAAAACATGCTCATTTAGAACCAAAGAAAAAGTTATGTAACTGAAATGTTTTTAGTCTGTTTAATATTATGGGAAATATTAACTTTTTTATTTGTGTCTGACACTAAAATAAAGATATGCAAAGCTTTTAGCTTTCCATTTATTACATGAAATGACTTGGATGATTATCCTGAAGATATACACCCACATCTGAGCTGTAACTGTGTCCTGCTTTTTTTAATCTCTCTCTACATACATACATACACACACACATACACACACACACACACACACACACACATACATACACACACACATACACACACATACACACACACACACACACCTTCCAAAATTAAGTGTTCCATGGCTAAAATTCTACTCTGTGTGTGTGTTTGTGGGGTGGTGGTGGGTGGGTTAACACTCAGATACACAGAGCTCTTCATCTAAAGATGATCAATCGCACAGGAAGCTATCTTACAATGTTTTAATAGTTTTTTTCAATATACTTGACATAAGAATGTTTGAAAATACATCTCAGAACACTAGAAATAAAACATTTGTTTACAATGTTTCACAATTCCCCAAGCTTGATAAAAAACAATTGCATACACGTGTGTCCTGCAATGGGATTTCATCACTTCACATTCTCTTCATTCTTAAAGTATCTCATTTCTTTCTTATTGCATATCTCTTATAAAAAAAAAATCAAGGCACTTAAAAACTGAGATTCCTTGATTGCAAAAGGAACACCTGTAGATTTCTGTTGTCCTATAGAAGTCAGTGTAGTAAGAACATTAAATACAGTGGTAGCATTGATATATACAGTGATTCCCTGCATGACATCAACTCTATAACAGGATTCCAGTGACAGTGCATTCTGGTGATCTTCTTAAATTGTATAATCAAACCAAAGATCATTATGGATGCTTTGAAGGAAATTCCAAGTTGTTTCATTTTTTTCTCCTTTTTTCCTCCCTTCAGCATCTGTGATGTGCATACGATAACTACAGCTGTAAAACACTCTCTTTTCTGAATCTATAAGTACTAAAATGTGACATCCAGCTCATATTTCATGAAGTAAAATAGACCAAAGTCCCACAGTTTAAATCTTTTTTTGTTGTTTTAAATCTGTTTGCCCAAATCCCTACCATTTAAATACATTTTTTAGTTGGCTTTTCCTCACAACTCATCTCAGATGGGTGACAAATCAAAGGAAAACAATAGTAACATGCATGATCAATACATCTAACTAGAACAGCTTCAATACTCCATCAAATTGATTTGAGCATCTGGATCTCTACATTTTGGTTCAATATCTCTAACAGCCGTTCAGTTGGGTTAAGATCTGGCACTTGTGTCTAATTTTGGAAGGGACCACTCCCATCAGGAGAGAAAAGCTCGCTGAATGCATTGCGATGACTCACAACTTTGGATTAATTTGATTAAATGGACTTAATCCATTAGGTAGTGCATTAGGAACCTAGAAACACATAAGGAAAAAAAATATTCTTGTTAAAAACTGCCATCAAGCATCAGCGAGACTAAAACTGCTGAGTTTGATATAACAATGAAAAATCAGACATTGTCATGAAAGTTCACAAAGCAATAAAAGTAAAATACCAGGCCTGCAGACACTATAGCCAAGTTAGTGCCTCACTGAACCACTACAAAAGGCACAGCAGCATTCTGAGGTAAATGCAACTGCTAACAAAAACTTTCACAATTACAAAGTCAACATTTTGATTCTGTATAATGTTAACAGAATTAGTTTAGTTTAACTGTATGCTACACTTTGCTTAATATAGAGTACAGCTGAGGCTGATGGGAATCTAATTTTGCAAAACCAGGTAGACATACTCAAGTATGACCCCATGATGGCAGTAGAGGGACAGTCCTCTTCCTTGCAACATTCTGATCAAAGATAGTCTAATTCAAGACCTTCCATCTGATAGCACAGCTATAACTGCTCATCTGTCAATGTTAATCCAACTGGTCTTTATCACAGTACTAGTGTCATACAGTATGAGATTGGGATATACAGCTGTAGGCCCCAAGTTAAATTCCAGTAATGGTACTTAGCAAATGAGAAAAGGCAGTATAGTGACATTAGCATCAGCCGTGTCACTGTAAAACTATTATAAGAATGCATTAAAGTGAGGAACTGAAGTCACTTGGACACTTTGGCATTTTCAGTCATATGTGTCATCTGTACATTACACAACATGTTTGTTTGGACTCTGTGTCCTAGTACAGTGTCCGAATCATGCTGTATTTAAACAAAGATTATCATTACCTGCATGATCCACAAGTACAAAACATTTTTCCCCCTTGTTGTTTGTTGAAAAACTAATGTGCTTTAAAAATAAAGGTCATTTTTAAAAACTCAATTTTTTATATATATATATATATATATATATATATATATATGCCACAATTACAGTGGTCTGCATAATATTGTGTAGCATTTTCTCAAGCTGCCAAAACAGCTCCAACTAATTTAGGTGCGGACAGAGACTCTGTAGGGATCCCATGACACCCCGCAGATCTGATTGCGATCTAGGGGAGTGTACGGATCGGGTTCAAAGGTGGGATCTTTGTTTTCTATTCCTGAGCAGTTGTTTGGGTGGTAGAGCTTAGTTTCTTGCCAAGTCTGCCAATGTTAAGGAATCACTGCTACAAGTTGGTGTATTTGGTTTGCAGTAATGTTTAGGTGAGGCGTACATGTCAAAAATAAATAGCAGGATCCACACTTTCTACAGGCACAGTGGACGTTTAGATGTCACTTCATTTTTGTAATAGTCTGTTTCTGATTTCACTGCACTACCCGAGATTGCCCCTCTCTACATCAGCCTTATTACGCAATTCTGAGCAGCTTATTTGTTTCAGCTCTGTTGAAAGAGCCAACCAACTAGTTCCCATGACATTAACATTAATAACAAAAAACCTAATAATACCATCACATACTTTGCTTTCTAAAGTGCTGCTCTCATCCAACATGTCCTGAGACACACGAGGGCCCTTAAGCGTTAACCTCTAAAAATCTTATTTTAATGCACAGTGATGCGGCATCGCTTACGGTGACAGTAAGCACTCCTTTGCACTCAAAAATAAAAATCTCAAGATATATTCCATAACTGTCTTTGCTAATCAATTAAATGGTCTTTGAAGCATTTTTGTACACCATTTTTCTATCCCTTAATATCCTTACATTCATAATCTTCTAGTCATTTCTGTGATGAAATACAAAAAAAAAATGCATATTATTAAATTCAAGAATATGTGTATTTTAAGAACAAACCAAAGTTTTTTCCATATTTAAGTTAGTATGAATTTCCACTTTAGTGAATGAATGTCGACTTCTGCTTTAGTGTTTGTATTTGCAAAAAGGTTTGCTCTTGGACTTTGGTGTTTTGGCTCACACGATGAACTCTGCCTCAGAGAAGGCTGATGTCTTTAGTTAATCTACCAACTCCACAGACACACTACTTTTTAAACTGTAGCATGTTCTGTTCATTAACTTTTCATGCGTTACATTCTTTGGTCTTTGTCTTTGGTGAGATTTGATTAGAATGTGTTGCCATGTAGAATACACCATGTAAAAAGTTCAGGTGTAAAGTCATCCTGCACCTCTTCAGTCAGTCTGTGTTGCTTGTGTTTACTTCGTCGACACTGACAGAGTTCAGTTTCAATATTGTGTCATAAAAAGCAGTATCTTCATTTTAGACATGTTAATTCATGCTTTTACGTGTAAATATACTTTAATAGCTTCACAGTTAGCTAAGAACACTTTGCAAAAAAAAAAAAAAAAAAATGCTTCTTACAGCATTTCATCTGTAAAAATGTCAAATTCTGGTAAGCAAATAATGCAACATTAAGGCAGATTTACAAGCAATACCATAATAAAGTGTCTGATGGGCACTGTGCATGTAGTTTTTTTCTTTTAAAGAACGTAGGCTAAATGGTAACCATCACTGCAGACGTTCCACAAGCTGTAGTTTGTCTAATCTTCACTTGATGCTTGCTCTAAAGGCGAGGCCACCCATAGATTCCCCTGTTAAAATGTCCCAGTTCAGAGCAGAAATAAACAGGTTTGCAATAACTATAAGTGGGTGAGGGGCTGGTTGTCAGTCATCCTCCATGACATGTTCATTACACTTTGACACTTTGTCTTGGCACAGGGAGTTATACCTAATAGATGTCTGCTTAAGTTCCACGTCCACCACGTAGAGTTACTAAACTGGACCTGCCATATTTGAGCTAATAAAGTATGTGCTACAGACCACCTGAGAAATCTATGTGGCAGTGTTGGTAAATGTAATTTTAGTATGTTCTTATTCTGTTACTTATCACTACTTACCAGACTTGTCTGTGCATTGCAGTTTAGAAATCCAGCTAGCTAAACAAGCTTAGTTGTTAGCTTAGAGTTTAGTAGTATAAAGTTAGCAATTTCCTGCTCCAAAAAGCTAACATGGCAGTGGCAAGAATGCCAAAGTTTACACTTCATAATGTGGCGTCTGACATCACCATGTCCATATGCAGTCTATAATGTGGTCCTATTTAAAAAAAAAAAAAAAATCATTTGGACTTGGCTTCAGATCTATTCAGTAGCAAGCAAGTAGAAGTACAGTAAATAGTTACTTTGACAGTGACATGTGGGGAGATCGTCCAAGCAGCCTTTAAGCTAGGCTAGAGACAGCAGCACCCGTTAAGAAAACACATTTTCATGTAATAGCAGAAGTCTAACTCCCACTGGTATATGACTCTTAGTGTAGTGACTGTAATATCATTGGTAAAAACCCACAGCTTTCTAGAGCATCCAAAGAAATAGTAGTAGCAGTAAGTAAACAGTATAAAGATTTAACATTTTGCGCATTTGTGGACCCAGGAAAATAATTATAAACAAGGTGACTCTGAAAAGCTTTTGCCTTATGATGTAGATGAATATTTTACATTATTAAGACGTCTGATGCATTTCTTGTTTGCAGCCAGTGTTGGAGTTTGTCCCTTTGAGTTTTGTTCTGACAGGATATATACTGCATTTAACACATTTTTCTTTATGTTTTTAGCTACAGTCGTAGCTGAAGAGGACAGTATACCCTATATTCCTGTGACACCATGTCATGTCAAAGCATTGCAAAAATGACATTATACTCTCCAGTGTTGTCACTGAATTTTTGTTTTCAGCAGCTGTAACCGCCTGTGTGCGTGTTGTGTTAAAAAGCTGTGCTGGCCATGCTTCCTGGTGCAAAAAGTCTTGAGATGCTGTCCTGAGATGTCTCCACGTGTCTATGGGCCATCTTCCCTTCCTCACCTGCTCCACAACATGAATGGAAGAGCAAAGAAAATGTAAGAAATAAATTAAAGGAGGAAAAGACTGGATGGATATGTTCATTTTCTCCAAAGACATCTGTACCGGTCAAAGACAAATGGAAGAAAATAAAATATAGATTTCATTATGTCTGCCTTAATTATCAACTTGTAGATGAATGCCACAAATAGATGAATGAACAGATTAAAACAAATGGATCAGAACTCTTACAGTCACGTTACTGTTGCTTGTGCATTATTCTCAACATTTACATCAAGGCATATTAAAAAAGGTTCTCATTTTATAGTCCAGGTCAATATTACTCCCAGTTAAGTGACCATTATGTCAAATACTATTAATACTGAGACAGATAAGTTGGGATCCAATTAGCAATTCCCAAACCTCGACAGTCTGCACAGAAGTGCATCATTACATTTTAGAATATGTCAGAGTAAAATGAACATAATAGAAATTGAGTATAACCAACCATAAAATCCAAACTACAGTCTGAAAAGAGTTAGTCTTGCTGTTCTATTGTAAATAATATGAAGGTTATTATTACCAAGCACTAGCAGTGTTTGTTTGGCAGCATCTCGTACTTCTTCCTTGTCTGCCCGGCAGAGATACACCAACTGATCAATGCTTTCTTTGGCCTGGAATAATAGCAGAATGAATACAGTGACAAATGCATTTTGTATAATACACTCCAAACAGAGTGCATACAGACAGGTGTTTAAATGTCACCTTTATCAAATCAGAACAGCAGCTTTGGATAATAGCATAAATTCTGTGCTTTTTTGTACCTTGAGACAAGCTAAAGCTTTGCATCCACACACTCGATTGTCCACATTCTCATCTTCCAGCAGCTCCAAACAGCTGACCAAAGCCTGAGAAGGACAAGATGCACAAAATGTTTCCAGGCTTTGATACACCAGTTATGGGGTTGTTACTGGCTTCTGCAGCACACACCATGCACAGGTCTATATACAGCAGGATCAAAAGGTCCTTTTGCCATTCAGGAAGAAAACAAAAAACAAAACAAAAAAAAAAAACAGTGAATCTCTCTCTCTCT